TATCAGCTATGGTCTCATTTTTCTCAGAAAAAATGTGTCTGGCAGTGGTGACAATAATATAAAAATATGTCGCAGAAAAGACCTGCACATAAGAAAAATATGGCGAGTTTGTGAATCTTGTCAAATAATTATGCAGCCATTATTCAAAATATCTTGGAAATGTTTTTTCTTCTTGATTTACTGAAATGTATTCTACAACAAGAACGCAACCTATTACCTATCGGTTATCTGGAGTTTAGTTTCTCTTTTGTCTCCCTTTTTTACCAACACATCACAAACCATCAACCCATACACTTCAAGCAAGTATTCAAGCATCTCGGAATCAGAGTAAGAATGATTTTTCTACAAGGTATTTGCTTTGGCTCATGATGCAAACAAGTTATAAAAATAGACATATAGGCATGCATACAAAGATCTTCATAACATTTCCACTAAATACAAGTGCACACAATAGACACAACATGGAAAGCACTGCCTGACAGAGTGGAGCCGACACCTGGGTCTCTCTGATGCCATGTCAAACGTCTGCATCGATATCGACACAGCGTTAACACCGCGGCTAAGTGCAGACTATGGCAGGTGCGCTCCGTGGGCAGAGTGGGCGGAGCTCCGGCGTGACAGCTGATTGATGCGCTGTCGATCGCTTCAGAGGCGGGTGCCCAGATTTATGACGCACTCCAGACCGTGGCCACCGGCGCTGCTCTACCCATTGATCAATTTGTTGTGCGCGCCCCTCGAACGGATGGGGCACAGCTGTGGAGGGAGTCAATGAGGGCACTGTAGGAAGCATCCCTTCTGCTGCGGAGCCATGATGGGCCGCTGTGTCTCATTACAGAGATATACAGTCTGCCAGGAGTGAGCGCACGGAGGAGCAGCCATTGTGCCGCTATATGCACTCAAAACTGAGCTGCATTTAAAGCCGGGGTACCTGATCCAGGACGCTCAACATGCAATGACGTTTATGGACTTCATCAACATTTAGGGACATTGGTTATCTGCCCCTTATGGACCAAAGGCTCTAAGTGTTTATCTTTAAAATTCCTGATACTCAAATGATTAATTTTATTTTTTTATTTTTGCTGCTACTGGACACCTGATTGACCTGAATTTCTCCAACAGGGATCGATAAAGTATCTATCTATCTGTGTTTGAACGGTTTGATTCTCTGATGTGTGTCAAACCGCAATCAAATCCATGTACAGTAACTTGTTCCTCGGTCTCAAAAGTCTGGTGCACACTGGGGTACTTTGTTGCACACGTATTCCAATGTGGCTTTACAGTGAATGGCATAAAAAATGAATTTGAATCTGAAAAAGTTTGATATTTAAAAAAAAAAAATCTTTTCACGTAACAACATAACAGACAAATAAGAATGGTTCGAAAAGGGTTGGATGTGTCAAGTGGGTGAAAAACAAGGAGACACAAAATGCAAAACTCCAAAATAATGGATTTAATGAAAAGTAAAAGGAATCAAGATCTAGCAAAAACACAGGGAACGAGGACAGAACTGAAACAGACGAGGAATGACGGAACAGGGAGTGAAGGAACACACAGGGCTAAATACAAGACGATAAAAACACTGCTATAACAATATCATGCATTAAAATTGAAAAATTGAGAAGCACATAACTATACAGTAGATACAGTAATACAATACATGACAAAACCACTTACGGTATAAGACACACACACACACACTCGGACAACACACAGGCCCAAACACTCTCTGACCCTACACCATGCTCCCACTACTTGCTCCGTCATTGAGGCATCATTCTCTTTCATCCACAATTTTCTGAACTTCTTTTATGACCCGTTTTTAAACATTTTTCCGTCAGGTTTGAGCATGACTGAATAGTAGCTCCACACACTGAGATATGGATCGATCATTAAAATTCACATGTTTTTGACTTCTTGATTTGTCCAACTTTTCTTCAGTCTAGAAAAATGAAAAACATACTATTTATGCAAATACAAAAGTAAAATTATCCAGCTTTAAGCAACAGCTTTTCTGTTTTCTTACACCATAGAACATTGGGATGATTAACGACAAATTAAAACAAATGTGTATGACACCTTAATTGTAGAAAATGCAATCAACACCTCCACTTGCAAAATTGAGTGTGATGAAGCAGTTCTGAAGATTATAATTGTTCATTATTTTTCCATTACATATTTAAAAGGCGGCCTGGGAACGCTTTGAGGTCCCCCGGACAAGCTGGAGGAAGTGTGTGTGGATAGGGAAGTCTGGGCGTCTCTGCTTAGACTGCTGCCCCCGCGACCCGGCAACGGATGAAGCGGAAGAAAATGGATGGATGGATATTCTTAACTATGAAGAGTAATTAGTTTGGCATTCACACTGCTGTTTTTAATCCTTATACATTTATTACTAGAACACATACCTAGAACTTATTTTGTTAGCAGCCATGGGGGCATTCTTAACGGTCTAACGCACACAGGCTGTGAGAGAAATAAACCAATCAGCAAACAGCTGATGTGGCAACAGCTGTGCGTCAAGAACAAAAGATGTAGTCAAATAGAAAACAAGGCGACAGGTATAGTAGTCATCTTTTTCTATATAGCACATTTTAGCAGATCAAGGTCACCCAAAGCACTTTACAAGGAACAGGTGAAGGACCTTTGTCGATTGTGCGATAACAACTGTATGAGTAGTAAGTAAGTAATCCTTGTTTATAAAGATTACTCTCCACACAGAGATGGAAGCATGTACTGTAGAATGTATAGTACTAAATGTTTTTAGAAAGGTTGTCACAAAGGTAAGTAATTAGTAAGTAATCTTTATTTATATACCGCCTTTTCACTGCAGATCTGAGTCTCAAAGCGGTTTACAATTGTTATTTTTTGGGCATTAGTCTCTCTCTCCACACAGAGATGGGAGCGGGGCCAGTACAGGAGGCACATGCCAGAACTATTGGACATAAATTTAGTGGTAGGGGAAACCGGAGCACCCGGAAGAAACCTACGCAGACACGGGGAGAACATGCAAACTCCACTCAGAAAGGCCCTGATCCGACCGGGATTGGAACCCAGGACCTTCTTGCTGAGAGGCGAGAGTGCTATCCACTCAGCCACCGTGCCGCCTGGAGGTGCAGGCCAGATCTATTGTACATGTGTTTAGTGGTAGGGGAAATCGGAACACCTGGAGAAAACCTACTCAGACACTGGGAGAACATTCGAGCTCCACACAGAGAGTTCTGGAGGAATCGAACCCAGGACCTTCTTACTTTGAATTGCAAATGCTAACCACTGCACTGCCAGACAAAATATGATAGTAACTTTGTGAATTTCCTGTGTTTCCATTGTAAGTTTATTGTGATTGAACCGACTACTTGAAGATACAAAAGTGGCTATTGCTTTCCAGGCTAAAGATTATCAGTCTTTGACGTAACTTCTCTAATGTAAATCTCACTAATGCCTTTCTCACCCAGCTGTCTTGCCCAGCGGTCTCGCGGTAATTACCCAGAGATAGCGAGCAACAAGTGAGAGACAGAGTGCAGGAGTGCGAGGGCTGGGGAGCGGCTGCAGATGGCACTAACACGGTGACACTTCCCGCTGCCAGCCGCCCGCAGAGCCCCAACATCTGCCCACAGACTCACCGTTCATCTCAGAGTCAGCCGGGTTCAGCCGCCGCAAAGAGGAGAGGCCCAGAGCAGCGTGGGCCGGCGTGCAACAACAATGGAGAGTGCGTTTCATTTGGCCCATCAGTCATTATATAGAGCCAATGTATATCTGTGGCTGGGTACCTGCAGCGTTCTGGGCAGTTTGTACCAGAACATCAATTTACAACAACAACAAAAACGTTGTGATAAATCTCTTTATGTATTCACCGCTGTATGCAACAAAGTTTTGACTTACAACAGCAACACAATAGCATAGCTTACATACTATGCTTCTAGCTATTTTGAAACTTTTGCAGCAGGAAGTTGTGATCTGAATGTTGAAAAATAAAGTTAAAATACAAAGTTTGCAAGAGTCCATCCATCCATTGTCTTCCCCTTAGTCCATTTCTGGGTCAGGGGGGAGCAGTCCACAGAGCACCAGCCCCTCACTGATCCTCCTGCAGGTGGTGAGTCTACAGGGGCCTTCATCTTAAGTGTCTTGCCCATGGACCCAACGACAGCAGACATCAGTGGGAGTCGTGAAGAAGGTCTTGTGAAGGGCTTGAACCCACAACCTTCAGGCTCAAAGGCCAATGCTCTACCAACTGAGCTGCTGAGTTTGCAAGAGTTGTTCACTGTAAATTGTAATGGGCCATTCAGCAAAAAAAATAAGCCTTAAAAACTTGATTCATCTGATGTTTCAGGTGTACCCCATTGATTTAAAAAACGTTTCTAGCAAATTTAATAACTTCACAAAGCCGTCAAATTTGCCACCACAGATCAGAGAATCAAAGCTCAAACACAAGAAATTAAATGATAAAAAACAAATAGAGCCATTGGTCCATAAGGGGCAGATGAATGTCCAGTGTCCTGATCATCACCACTGTTCTTGGCAAGGGAGAAACCCCAAGGCAGAAAAGAGAGAAACCTTGGGGAGGCCCACGTTGAGGAAGGGATCCGCTCCCATGGACAAATCTATCTAATTATGGGCGACATTATTAGTGTTAAAAACTATTGTATCTATGTGCTAATTATGTATAGCTACAAAATAATTATGAAAACTGTTGCACTTTGTCATTCTGCACTTTATGAATGCAACTGGCACTTTTCATCTGCACTTTTACTATATATTGCATGTTTATTGTCTATGTTTTGTATTTTAATTAACTCTGCTAAGTATTTTAATTGTATTTTTGATTGTATAAGGACTACAGATGGAAATTAGCATTGTGCTAAATCTGGGGCAGCCATCTTTTTAATGTACCTGTCCGTTGTCCTTTTAAATAAATAACTAAACTAAACATCTCTCCATCCGGACACTGGACATATCTTCAAAAAACACCTTAGAGTCTATTGCAATACAGATTATGAGCACATTACCTTGGTCAAATCGCAGATCCTCAACAGGTCCGCCTGCCCGTTGCCGCTGCAGATCCTTTCCCTCTCCTTCGCCACATCGATATCTTCATCCTCTTTCGACGGAGGATTCCACTTCAGAAGCCTGCTCCAAGTCAACGAGTCAACACCACCCATTCAATTAAAATTAACAACACCCCACATTACACATTAGAATGGTTCAAGTTGAAATCTGGGGCCGGCAATCTTATCAATTTCCATAAACGGCAGCATTGGCCATTAGTAGCCATGGCAACCTGCAGTGAGTAAACTGCAAAAAAAACAAAACAAAAACGACCAAACGGGGAAATCATTTGCAAAATACAAGCAGATGTTTTATATACGGAAAGTCTCTACTGAATATTACCAATTTAAACGGTGACAAACGGGGAAGGGATATCTTTACCCGATGCCGAAAAAAACAGATGGGAGTGTGAATCAAAGACTACAAATCAAAGGAGACACGGCATAATGGTGCTTCAAAGGAGGAAGTGACTAAAGTGAGATGAAAGAGTGGATTGACGGAGGAGTGTTTTGTGAAGTCTGGGAGATGTACTGGCACCTGGGTTTGCAGAAAAACTTATACTGGATGAGAAGCGTGATGGCAAACATAACCACTCCCTGGATGGACATCGCACACAGGTTCTTGCCCACCATGTCCCAGCCCAGAGGGTCTTTGAACCGGTCCTCTCCTAAAACACAAAAGAGAGGAGATTTTTTCTATTTATTTCAAACTTACACTGTACACACATTATCACCACAACAACAAACCGGATTTAAAACACAAATAAATAGATTAAAATTGTTTGAAATGGTTTGGGAGAAACAGACGCTTATTGACACTCACAACCCCTCTGACACACACACACACACACACACACACAACCCCTCTGACACACACACACACACACAACCCCTCTGACACACACACACACACACACAACCCCTCTGACACACACACACACACACAACCCCTCTGACACACACACACACACACAACCCCTCTGACACACACACACACACACACATCCCCTCTGACACACACACACACACACACACACACAACCCCTCTGACACACACACACACACAACCCCTCTGACACACACACACAACCCCTCTGACACACACACACGCACACACACAACCCCTCTGACACACACACACACACACAACCCCTCACCCTCTGACACACACACACACAACCCCTCTGACACACACACACATAACCCTCTGACACACACGCTCACAACCCCTCTGACACACACACACACACACACACACACAACCCCTCTGACACACACGCTCACAACCCCTCTGACACACACTCACAACCCCTCTGACACACACACACCAACCCCTCTGACACACACACACACACACACAACCCCTCTGACACACACACACACACACACACAACCCCTCTGACACACACACACACACACACAACCCTCTGACACACACACACACAACCCCTCTGACACGCACACACACACACACAACCCCTGACACACACACACAACTCCTCTGACACACACACCCACACAACCCCTCTGACACACACACACACACACACAATCCCTCTGACACACACACACACAACCCCTCTGACACACAAACACACCCACACAACCCCTCTGACACACCACACACACACAACCCTCTGACACACCTCACACACACACCAACCACCCCTCTGACACACACACACACACACACAACCCCTCTGACACACACACACACACTACCCCTCTGACACACACACACACACACATAACCCCTCTGACACACACACAAACACACAACACACAACCCCTCTGACACACACACACACTCACAACCCCTCTGACACACACACACACACAACCCCTCTGACACACACACACACACACACAACCCCTCTGACACACGCACGCAAACCCTCTGACACACACACACACACACAACCCCTCTGACATGCACACACACACACTCACAACCCCTCTGACACACACACACTCAGAACCCTTCTGACACACACACACACACAAACCCTCTGACACACACACACACACACACAAACCCTCTGACACACACACACACACAACCCCTCTGACACACACACACACACAACTCCTCTGACACACACACACACACACACACAACCCCTCTGACACACACACACACACAATCCCTCTGACACACACACACACACACACAAACCCTCTGACACACACACACACACAACCCCTCTGACACACCACACACACACACACAATCCCTCTGACACACACACACACACACACAATTCCTCTGACACACATACACACACACAAACCCTCTGACACACACACACACACAACCCCTCTGACACGCGCACACACACACACAACCCCTCTGACACACACACACACACACAAACCCTCTGACACACACACACACACACACACAAACCCCTCTGACACACACACACACACACACAACCCCTCTGACTGACACACACACACACACACACACACTCCAGCTAGCTTATGTTCAAATCGGCTACTTCTGCATTCTACAAACCCAGTGCGGGACGCCAGCGCTCGGTCAGTCCACTTTGATGTTGCTACACTAATTATCATTAACTTACTGTAACATATTTCAATGTAAAATTTGCATAATACGTTACAACAAATGACTTTTCAATTCAGTTTATTTTTGTATAACCCTAAATCACAACAGCAGTCGTCTCGGAGTAGACAATTCGCCAATCATACAGTTGTATCCACTGTCCAATCCAGATGTTTCCACACAACAATCCAAACAAACAGAAAGTGTCTTCTGTTTTTCTGGGCCAAATATAAAAGCAAGAACCTGGATTTTGTATTTTGTTGGTTTGGAAAGCTTCTGAATGCCGTATAAACCCATTCAGAGGGTGAAGGAGTAAACAAGACGTCACCTGTGTCACGAGGAAGAGCGCCTGGCATCATGAAGTGGAAGTGGAGGCCCTGCTTTGACTAATGAAGGCATAAGTAAAGAGTTTGACAGCCCCACACTCTCAGAGAAACGAAAGTGCTTTGAGCCCCATTCTGGCGTAAGCAGTCCCCTCTTCACACGGGCTCTTTAAACTTGTGATTGCTTTTCTCTTGGCCGACGCCGCTGCCACAAATGATTCCTCACAGCGCTATTTCCTGCTTCATCCGTCCGCTGATAAGACTCCGCTCTTCTTCACCTCTCAATCGGCCGACTCAACCACCGGTGTTTCTAACCAGGGCTAAATATAACGCAGGTCTGCCAGAGGTGGTGATGGCCAGTAGTGGAAATAGGATCATAAAGGAGCACTTCTTACTGCAGCTGTTCATACTCGAGAATAAAGGTATCAGTTTGCATTTCTGAGTGGATGATGTAAGAATGGTTTGAAGCCGAATTCCTCAGCTGTCCTGAGGGCGGCTGTTTGATATTTACACTGCCTTTATCACACGCTCCTCACAGCAGCAGGAGAACGCTCCATTGATGAGAATGTCATTTCAAAACGTTCTACCGGTCATTATTTCTTGATAACGGACCTCTCAAAACAATAATGACCGCTGTCCTTTGGCAACGCACTCTCTGCTTGTAATTCAGATGTGTAGATTACTCCGCAAGTAGTTCCGGCCACTTCGTCGCTACTACTGTCTCTGCAGAGAAGCTATCGGAGCTAGCCACGCTCAATAAACACAAATACCAATCAATAACACACTTAAATATCGATCGGAGAATACATTAGACATAAACATTCTTCACACACGTGCACGGAGGTTTTCAGAACTATCTGTTAAGGTTTTCATGACAAAAATACTGTTTTATTGAGAGAAAAAGTGATCGCGAAAAACCCGGAAGTAGATTCTGGGACATTTTAGGAACATTTGCAGAGGATCAAATTATGGATTTAGGTTAAGTTTATGTTTGGGTCACTCACCGCTGATGTTCAGGATTTTTTGTTCAGTTTTCATGCAGTTCAAGAGAGTTCTAGTTTGGAAGATGCTAGCCTAACTGTTACTAGCCTATCTGTCACTAGCCTAACTGTTTCTAGCCTAACTGTTACTAGCCTAACTGTTACTAGCCTAACTGTTGCTAGCCTAACTGTTTCTAGCCTAACTGTTGCTAGCCTAACTGTTTCTAGCCTAACTGTTACTAGCCTAACTGTTACTAGCCTAACTGTTGCTAGCCTAACTGTTACTAGCCTAACTGTTGCTAGCCTAACTGTTACTAGCCTAACTGTTACTAGCCTAACTGTTGCTAGCCTAACTGTTTCTAGCCTAACTGTTGCTAGCCTAACTGTTACTAGCCTAACTGTTACTAGCCTAACTGTTACTAGCCTAACTGTTACTAGCCTAACAGTTACTAGCCTAACAGTTACTAGCCTAACTGTTACTAGCCTAACAGTTACTAGCCTAACTGTTACTAGCCTAACTGTTACTAGCCTAACAGTTACTAGCCTAACAGTTACTAGCCTAACAGTTACTAGCCTAACAGTTACTAGCCTAACTGTTACTAGCCTAACTGTTACTAGCCTAACTGTTACTAGCCTAACTGTTACTAGCCTAACTGTTACTAGCCTAACAGTTACTAGCCTAACAGTTACTAGCCTAACAGTTACTAGCCTAACTGTTACTAGCCTAGCCACGGGAAAGCCTTTGGGAACTATTTTATTTTCTGTCATTAAATAAACCTTTCGCCTTTCCTAAAAGTGGACTGAAGTTTATTTTGTGTGTTCTGTCTAAAGCCGTGTAATAAGTGGGATCGGGGTCCGCTTCGCCCTGTAAGAACTTATTTTCCAAGGATGACCTGCGTACTGTACATTATCTCTTACTGTACATGTGACTTCACTCGGCTAACGCTAGCTTCACGGGCTGTGGTGAAGATGATCCTTTCCCCTTATGAACTGATAGTTACGAGTGTGTTCTGATCAAGGGATGAGGAAAGGTTAGATTCAACTTTATTGCCATTACAATGTCAGAACAATACAACAACATGCAGTTTAGCATCTAACCAGAAGTGCAAGTATAGGATAATAATTACAACACAGATGAATATATATGGATATATGAGATCGTACAAAGCTGCTAGTATAGACCTCTTTGGTTGTCCTGAGCAAAAGTAAACATGGCAGCAGCAACTACATCTCTGTCACATCGGAATTATATATACCGTCATATGAATTTTTGCAAATAAATTGATTTAAGGCAAGGTGTGGGAGTGCACCATAAAAGCATGTTTTATTCATACATCAGAAATACTGGAAACAGCTTTTCTGGTGTGAGAAACTTTAATTTTGATTAATGAGAGTCGTGCCATTACGTTGAAGTCAACAATTGCTTTCTCCAACCCATTTATAACCATAACACTTTTGTTTAGATTGTGATTGAAGTGAAAACTATTACAAGTAAACTACATATGTGAGTTTACGTGCATACAATTGGCTAAAAGTGAGATATTTACAACACAACTCCGGCCATCGGCAGTAATTATTTCATATTGGCAACTCAGAGCTTAAAATGATCTCCCCGTTATAAAACTCGAGGGACCGTTCAACTTTTCTTGTTTGAGTAACTTGGAAAAAGAAAGAAAGAAGGCACTCAGATTAGAATGAAGAATTCGATTGTTTTCATGCTGATTCATGTTGATATCTTACTGTATTATTCATATCCATCTGATAATTCTCCCATTCAAGTCACTTTACCTGTTGATATTATTTCTGATGTTTATTCTGCTCATATTCTCATATTCTCCGCTGCTAATGTATAATATAGACATCTGTAAATACTCCGAACCAAGTGCAATTGTAGCCCAGATTTTCTTATTCTATTTTATTTTATCTTAAATTTATTGTCTATTATCTTCAATAATAGACTTTGATGTGTGCAATCTGAGTGCTCTTATTTCCTTTCTCTGCTGTAATGTGCAACAATGACACTGACATTTCTCCACTGTGAGACTAATAAAGGTTTATCTTATCCTATCTTATCTTATGCAAATATCTATATTTGACAATTGAGTGACTTGTTTTTGCACCATATGCCAAAGCGTTCAAGTTTGTGACGTCCTGTTCACTCACAATAGCAATAATATGAATCTGAGTTATTTCAAGCCAAATGTCAAAGTGTTCTGAGTCTTCATCAGTGCGTAGAGAGTAAGCAACTGGTAAATCTTAAAAATATGAATAATTATGTTCCTTTTGTCACTGTATAGAGATTGTGCACGATGTGTTGTCTGTAAAATTTGTGTAAATCCATATTTTGTTCAAACTGTATTTATCTGCTAGCTTTCATCTTTGAATAACTTTTGCTGAAGTTTCAAATACCAACCAGTTTTTTTTTGTTACTGAGAGAAAATAGTCTCACCAAATCCGTCGAAGAGCGTGGCCATGGCTTGGTTCTTGGCCATGTCGATTAGCCCTCGACCCAGACAGAAGTGCGGGAATATGAGCAGCACCTGCTTCAAGATGTCGTTGATGCGAACGATCGTCTGGAAAAGAGACACAACAAACGCACAGCAATTATACAAACGCTGCCAGAGGGAATTGGTCATCAGACGTCCAATAAGCTGCATCTGGGTTCTGCCTGAGCAACACAAAAGGTTTGAGAGAGCAAGGTCACATACAAAACATACAGCTTGGGAGCTATAGGTTGGTAGCTCCCCAAAAAATGCCAACTACTTCCACCGATACATTATGATGGATTGTTTTATGGGTATAACTCTACACAACAACAAAAATCCCAAAATATATATAGAAATTATCCAAATGAATGAGCTTTGCCAAAGGGACAAGAATTATATACACTATATCTCTGCTTGAAAGAACCAGACTAAAGCTGGTTTCATACATTTTTTTGAATCCTGGCAAAATCTACTTAATCTATTGTAGCTCACAATTATGTCGACTGTCATAAAAGGAGTAGCTCTCTGTCACTATAGCTACAAAGTAGCTGTTCCAGGGAAAAGGCTGGAGACCCCTGCATTAGATACATTACATACAGTATCTAAGTGTCTTTGAGTGTCCCAAAAAAGCGCTGTATAAAACCGATGCCCTATAGACTTTTCTCTTGGAAGTGCTGGATCCTGGAACCTTTTTGAGAAAAGGTGGTTGTACTTCTTTTGCTCCTTGTGCCCTTCTTTCCTATGGCTCTTCCTCCAGAAAGCTTCTCTCAGTTTTGTTTGAACAGGGGGGGTTCCTCTAGCAGCTGCTAAAAAAGATGGCTGCTACAAGGTGGAAGCCCCCTCAGTCAGTGTCTCCTTGTCAGTGGGTCATGGAACTTACTGACATTGCCTGCTTAAAGACCTTATGACGGGTTTGATTTATTTAGAAATACAGTTTTAATACCATTTTATATTAGAAGAGAACTACTAAACGTTTCAAAATCAGTTTTTTTTTGTCTGATCCCCCCCAAATCGTAATAACCCCATAGCAACGCCCTTAGAGACGAAAAAAACTTCACAGCCCTTGGTGACGTCAGAACGGGTACGTTTCAACGCTGTAAGTTGTTTACAATTTGGTATTCGTTCTTTTTTCGCGGATATTCAAGATGACAAGGCCGTGTACAGCGAGTCTGACATAAATACTAGAATGTAACATTTCGTTGTCACTGAGATAGTCCAGTGGTTGTGTTGTTGGACTACAATTCCAGATACTTGGGTTCAAATCCCACCTCAGACACTTTTTCACTCTCAAAACGGCAATTTATGTGTAGTGAGCAATTGTCACCTGTAGAGGGAAGTATTGTGTTGGGCATCAGTGGAGAGAAGAGAGAAAAGGCAGTCCTGTGGCATAGATCCATGGTTTTCAATGCATGGGCGTTACCCGCTGTGACGTCACACACAGGTTAGAGCATAGACAACTTAAATTCATGAAAAACACGTTCTTTTTATAAAATATAGGATTTTTTTTGCCGGAATCTCTTTCAAATTGACATTGTCATGCAATTTTAAAAACCCGTCATAAGGTCTTTAAAAAGAATACGATTTTGACTTCAAGGTTGTATAGATGGTTTATATTTTTAATGTTATGTTTTTGCTGCTTTTAGAATGATGTATTTATTTATGTTTGCACGGATGATGCGTTTCACTTTCTAAAAACCAGAATTTCTGTCTATCTATCTAACCAGATGGAGGAATTATACCTTTGGTGCTTGTTTTGGGCGACAGGGAAAACAGGAGTGCCCAAAGAGGGCACTCCTGTGAGAGGGAGAAACATGAACATTCCACACAGAGAGGAGAGACTGGGTTCAGACTTCGTCCATGATCACTTCCCCATCGGGCTAAGCATTGTCAATCTATATACAGTCTATGTCAAGAATACCATCTCTCAAGATAACAAAATCAGAGAAACATTTGGATTGGCCATGATTATACCTAGGAAAGGCTCGGTACAGGCTTTTCTCTCTAACCACACTGGAGAAACCAAGCAGATTTTCATTTTTAGGATTTCATGGACCCCCTCAGGAGAAAAGGAAACGGTACCTCGAGCTATAACAGTGTCTACAAGCATCGTGTGTTTTCAGAATGGCATAAAAAGGCCGGTCTTATCTTGACAGGATATATTCTTGGCTACATTCCTCCTTCCCGATTGTTCTCGTCGTCTCACTTCCTTCTCCCCGAGGCAACACAAAAGTGATTTAATTACTGAGACAATGCGACCGACTGGAGCAGGCTGGAAGAATGACTGTACGTGACGGCAGACGCAAAGAGATTTTAAATATCACTACACTTGGTTCAAAAAAGCTGGATCATGTTTTATGCATGGAGGCTCATTGCGGCAGTCTTCAAAGCATCCACAGAGAAGGACCGTGCAGTTGCAGTCATATTTTTTGGGGGTAAATAGCCAGTGCATGTAAAAAAAAAAAAAAAAAAAATGAAACCTATTATTGTCAGCGGTATTATTCACGCTCTAGTGTAATTGGGCTTTGTGATTTGCTAAGCGGAGCGGCGGCCAGATGCTTCCGTCTGTCATGAGATGTCTGGTCTGTCAAATAACGCAAAACGTTGGAACAAAAAATTATAAGATGGGGTAGAGGAGGTAGAAATGCAGCCGGGGAAACTGTCTCCCCACTTCTGCTCGAGATCAAACATGGCCGATCGCATGAGGGGAAAGAGAGTTTTTTGCGCATAAGTAGGCAATGGTCAGTGGCTTCGTGTTCTCTGGGGCGATGATGGGATGAAAAGGCTTCATTGATCAAGATGTCAGAGAGAACCTTCAGATGTCCGCACATGCGCTTGACAATAATTAATCACTGCTTTTATCTGCGTTTATACGTTTTCACGGACCAGAAGACAGGCGGGTAAAATATTGCGATGGCTGTGCATGGCTAAGCGTGCATTGCAAACACACAGGATGTGACTGTATGCAAATACTCACAATCAGGTTAGAACAAATCTGACACATTATTTAAAGACCTTATGCCGGGTTTAAAAAAAAAAAAATTGTGGATATCAAAATTGCATGACAATGTCAATCTGAAAGAGATTCCGGCAAAAACAAATCCTATATATTATAAAAAGAACGTGTTTTTCATGAATTTAAGTTGTCTATGCTCTAACCTGTGTGTGACGTCATAGCGGGTAACGCCCATGCATTGAAAACCATGGATCTATGCCACAGGACTGCCTTTTCTCTCTTCTCTCCACTGATGCCCAACACAATACTGCCCTCTACAGGTGACAATTGCTCACTACACATAAATTGCCGTTTTGAGAGTGAAAATGTGTCTGAGGTGGGATTTGAACCCAAGTGTCTGGAATTGTAGTCCATCGACACAACCACTGGACTATCTCAGTGACAACAGAGTTTCAATCTAGTATTTATGTCAGACTCGCTGTACACGGCCTTGTCATCTTGAATATCCGCGAAAAAAGAACAAATACCAAATTATAAACAACTTACAGCGTTGAAACGTACCCACTCTGACGTCACCAAGGGCTGTGAAGTTTTTTCGTCTCTATGGGCGTTGCTATGGGGTTATTACGATTTCGGTTCATATGGCACAAACATGTCATGGATGTACCTTGGCGCGAGACCATGGAGAGACTTGTACACAAGTAAAGCTGCTTTGAAGTCTATTCTCTGAGGAACAGGAAGCCAGTGCAGAGACCTGAGAACTGGACTAATGTGGTCGTACTTCCTAGTTCTGGTCAGGACTCGAGCTGCTGCATGTTGAATGTACTGCAGCTGTTTTACAGCCTGTTTGGACAGACCTGTGAGCAGGCCATTGCAATAGTCTAACCTACTGGAGACAAAAGCGTGTATAAGAGTCTCCAAGTCTGCCTTAGACACTATGTTTTTAATTTTAGCAATGTTTTTTAGGTGGTAATAAGCTGCTGATGTTACAGATTTTATGTGGCTTTTGAAATTTAAGTCTGAGTCCATTATCACTCCTAGATTTCTGACCTGATTTGAGGGTTGTAGAGAGAGAGCCTGGAGGTGACAAATAACGCTCTCTCTTTGTTTCCTCACTGACCCTCTGCAGGTGGTGAGTCCACAGGAGGACGGCTGCTCTCTGAGTGTGAGCATAGCCTTGATCTTTCAGTGGGAGCTTTGGGCAAAGTGGGGTTAAGTGTCTTGCCCAAGGACACAACGACAGCAGTCATCAGTGGGAGTCGGTGGAGAAGGTGCAGAGGTGGGAATTGAACCCACAACCTTCTGGGCTTAAGGCCAATGCTCTACCAACTGAGCTACTGTCGCCCCTCATTTGCGATCGATACATGAAATAAAGCCTTTTCTCGAGTGGGTGTTCATCAAGCAGATCTGAAGAGCTCTTAGCTGTGGGCCATGATGAAAAGCTGGACAATTTCCTCCCTTATGTTTGCACTACATGCTCATAAATCATTTTCAAATGCTTGGGAAGGTGGTATGCCGTGTGCGAGCTGCTTATCTGACCCATATCGCTCGCGGCGCTTATTCCCAGCGCGGGGCTTCATTCATAATGTTCGGAATCACAATGAGAGAACAGACACTGGTATTGTCCAACAGTCCTGTTAGATATGCAGCGAAGATCTATTTCATATACACTCGCTTTTCTGGATCGAGAATATAGGACACAGACTGCAATAAAGAATAATGAGAACTATTATTGGTGGTATTAAGTAACATCAAACATGTACTTCAAAAACATTTTCATTTCAGAGTCCTGTAGACATGTTTTTTTTACATTTGTTATCATCCTGATTTCTCTGGCCACTGCACCACAGATTTTTTCTTTTAGATCAGCCATTCCCAAAGTCAGTAACACCTCCTTAAAAATCTGAAGGGTCTGCGCGGCCCCCAGAAATAATAACCAAGAAGACATTGTTAAAAATAGGCTCTTCTCGTTATTTTATGTGGGAGAAATAGCATCTGCTACAAACACGTAAATGACACACCCCATTCTGTAATACAAAAATGATTATAATTTGATTGTTAAAGTCAAATACTGAGTACAAATGTTTAATTTTACAAGCAAAATATTATTAATTTAACATACAATAATACCCCC